TCCTTCTGGGACAGCTCTCCGGAACGGGTCTTGGGGGTACTGCATTGCAGTGACTCCGGTCCTTTCTGGAGAGTCGAACTCAGTTGGTGAAGCTGGGAGATACCTGCTCGGACTCATGGCCTTTGACCTGTGGTGTCCCACAAGGTTCTATTCTTTCCCCCATGCTCTTTAATATCTACATGAAACCGCTGGGCGAAGTCATCTGGAGTTTTAGAGTTCGTTGCCATCGCTATGCAGATGACACGCAACTCTACTACTCCTTTCTACCAACATCCAAGGAAGCCCCTCGGGTCCTGGACCAGTGCCTGGCCACTGTGATGGGCTGGATGAGGGCCAACAGGTTGAAATTGAATCCTGACAAGACAGAGGTCCTCCAGGTCAGTCGCTCGGCCAAACAGGGTATAGGGTGGCAACCTGTGTTGGACAAGGTTACACTCCCCCTGAATTCACAGGTCCGCAGTCTGGGGGTCCTCCTGGATTCAGCGCTGACGCTTGATGCTCAGGTGTCGGCGGTGGCCAGGAGGGCCTTTGCACAGTTAAGACTTGTGCGCCAGCTGCGACCATACATTGAGAAGTCTGATTTGACCATGGTGGTCCATGCCTTAGTTACCTCAAGATTAGACTACTGTAATGCACTCTACATAGGGCTGCCCTTGAAGACGGTTCGGAAACTACAGCTGATGCAAAGGTCAGCGGCCAGATTGTTAACTGGAGCAAGTTACAGAGAGCGGTCAACCCTCCTGTTTAAACAGCTCCACTGGCTGCCGATAAGGAGCAACTTGAGAAACTGCAAGTTGCTTCTGGTGTGTGTTGTGACTCAGCTGGAATCAGAGAGTGTTTCTGATGAGGATGATGGGTCTCAGGTTCAGAGTTTGGTTCAAAATGTCCCTGTTATAGACAGTGAAGAAATGCAGTTTCCCACAATAAGGCACGGGAGTGTTGATACTGAAAATAGCCAGGTGCAGTTTGACTCAGAGAAGGGAGATAGCTCTCAGCCTGGTTCTCAGCCTGATAATGAGCAAGCAGGAAAACAGGCTAACGAAGAGACTGACCTTGACGATATCATTCGGGGGAGATCATTCGGAGTTTTGGACTGAGATCTCTACGCAGATGATGTCCAGATCTGTCACTCCTTCTCACCTGTCACCAAGGAGGCTGTCCAGACCTTGAACCGGTGCTTGGCCGCTGTGTCGGACTGGATGAGAGCTAACAGATCGAAATTGAATCCAGACAAGACAGAGGTCCTACTGGTCAGTCGTAAGGACGAACAGGGCATAGGGATACAGCTTGTGTTAGACAGGGTTCCACTCCCCCTGAAGATGCAGGTTCGCAGCTTGGGAGTGATCCTGGACTCATCGCTGATCCTGGAACCCCAGGTCTCGGCGGTGGCCGGGAGAGCTTTTGCGCAATTAAAACTTCGCCAGTTGCGCCCATACCTTGGGAAGTCTGATCTGGCCACGGTGGTCCATGCTCTTGTTACATCCCGAATAGACTACTGCAACGCTCTCTACGTGGGGTTGCCCTTGAAGACTGTTCGGAAACTTCAACTAGTCCAGCGAGCGACAGCCAGATTGCTCACCGGAGCGACATACAGGGAGCATACCACCCCCCTGCTGTGCCAGCTCCACTGGCTGCCGATTCAGTTCCGAGCACAATTCAAGGTGCTGGTTTTGACCTACAAAACCCTGTACGGTTCCGGTCCAGTGTATCTGTCCGAACGTATCTCCCTCTACGTCCCACCCCGGAGTCTGAGATCATCTGGGGAGGCCCTGCTCTCGACCCCACCACTGTCACAAGTGAGGCTGGTGGGGACGAGGAGCAGGGCCTTCTCAGTGGTGGCCCCTCACCTGTGGAACTCACTCCTGGGGGAAATCAGGGCATCATCATCCCTCCTCGTCTTTAGGAGGAGGGTGAAGATGTGGTTATGGGACCAGGCCTTTGGGCAACCAGGCAATTAAATCAGACAATCAGGCAAGTAAGACCAACAGGATTGATGAAGTGGAACGTAAAACTATATCTATGAGTAAGCAAACGCTGACCATGTAAGAGGAGAAACTGGGTTTGTATAGGTTTTATTGATTTTATTGATTTTATGGTTATAATGCATGAACTGTTGTTAATTGTGAATGTAAAAATGTAATTTTGTGTATGATTGTTTTATGATGCAGGCATCGAATTGTGCCTTTGCCTTTGTAAGCCGCCCTGAGTCCCCTTCGGGGTGAGAAGGGCGGGGTAGAAGAACCCCAAATAAATAAATAAATAAATAAATAAATAAATAAATAAATAAATATATGGGAACTTTAGATCAGGCTGACCGGTTGGAATTCCAAATTCGAAGGAGTGAAAGGATAGCTAACAAGTGGGAGGCCAGAGAAACGCCTTCATGTTTTGCAAAGGATATTAAGCAGTGTATTTGAGACCAGATCTTTGTCAAAGCAACTTCGCGTTTACCTAAGGAGCTTGCCTAAACTAGGCTGGATTGTCTTACAGTTTTGTTGTTCATGGTTCCAGGACTCTGTCATGTTCTCTTGGATTTTGCTTTGCTGATCTCTTTTTGGATTAAGCGACGAGTGCTATGTTATATTGATCTTTTGGAACATTAAACTTTGCTTTCAAGAACTTTTTTACCTTTTATTTTTGATAAACCATAAAGACTACTGGCTGTGTGCAGTTTGGTGTTCTTCAGCAAGGTGAATCTACTCTGAGGTGCAACAGTGTGAGAGAATTGGCTGTCTGCACGAACGTTGCCCAGGGGACACCCGGATGTTTTACCATCCTGTGGGAGGCTTCGCTCATGTCCCCTTATGAGAATCTGGAGCTGACAGACGAGAGCTCACCCCGCTCCCTGGATTCGAACCACCAACCTTTCGTTCAGCAGTCCTGCGGCAGAAGAGTTTAATCCACTGTACTACCGCGGACTCCGTAGACACTCCATGTTTCTAGACATTGGTAGATGGTCTATGTTTCGAAGTTATACAACAGAGTAGCTTTATAAACAAGCATCTTGGTCTCCTTACGAATGTCCCAATCCTCAAACATTATCTGCTTCATTTGGAAATATGCTGCACTTGTAGAGCTCAGACAGTGCTTATTTTGGCTTCAATGTCGGCTTTTGTGGAAAGGTGTCTGTCTAGGGAGCAGGAATAGCCAACATTTTCTAGTGTTGCACCATTACGTTGTAATGCTGGCACTGCAAGTACTTCTTCTGAGACAGTGGTTCTCAACCTTCCTAATGCCGCGACCCCTTAATACCGTTCCTCATGTTGTGGTGACCCCCAACCATAACATTCTTTTGCTTATTACTTTCATAACTTCAGTTTTGCTGCTATTATGAATCGTAATGTAAATATCTGATTTGCAGGATGTATTTTCATTCATTGGACCAAATTTGGCACAAATACCTGATACACCCACATTTGAATACTGGTGATTTTGTCATTTGGGAGTTGTAGTTGCTGGGATTGACAGTTCACCTACAATCAAAGAGCTTTCTGAACTCCACCAACGATGGAATTCAACCAAACTTGGCACACAGAACTCCCATGACCAACAGAAAATACTGGAAGGGTTTGGTGGGCATTGACCTTGAGTTTGGGAGTTGTAGTTCACCTACAACCAGAGAGCACTATGGACTCAAACAATAATGGATCTCGACCAAACTTGACACAAATACTCAATATGCCCAAATATGAACACAGATGGAGTTTGGGGGAAATAAACCTTGACATTTGGGATTTGTAGTCACTGGGATTAACAGTTCACCTACAATCAAAGAGCATTCTGAACCCCACAAATGACAGAATTGGGGCAAACTTCCCACACAGAACCCTCCTGACCAAAAGAAAATACTTAAGGCCATCCAGTCCAATTCCCTTCACCATGGCAAGAAAACATAATCAAAGTCCTCCTGACAAAGAGCCATTCAGCCATATATAGATAGATAGATAGATAGATAGATAGATAGATAGATAGATAGATAGATAGACAGACAGAGGGGGGGGGGGAGGGAGGGAGTTGTAGTTGCTGGGATTTATAGTTCACCTACAATCAAATAGCATGATAGAATTGAACCAACCGGGGCATACATGACTCCCATGAACAGCAGAAAACACTAGAAGGGTTTGGTGAGCAGTGACCTTGAGTTTGGGAGTTGTAGTTCACCTACATCCAGAGACTACCATGAACTCAAACAATGATGGATCTGGACCAAACTTGGCACGAATATTCCATATGCCCAAATATGAACACAGATGGTGTTTGGGGGAAATAGATATTTGGGGTTGTAGTTACTGGGATTTATAGTTCACCTACAATCAAAGAGCGTTCTGAGCCCCACCATTGACAGAATTGGGCTAAACTTCCCACACAGAACCCCCATACTGAAGGCCAACCAGTCCAACTCCCTTCACGAGGGCAAGAAAACGTAATCAAAGCCCTCCTGACAAAGAGCCGTCCAGCCATAGATATAGAGAGATATGATTCACAAACACACAGATATAGTATCATAGATTTGAAAGGGACCCCTGAAGGACAATTATAGGTTGCATGTTCTAGAGTTGGCAAACCAGACACTCTGCACATCAACACTGACAAAGAAACAACAAGAAATACTGTTTACCCACAAGCCGAAAGAAATTACATATATTAGAAACCAACACTTTCTCATTACTTTATTTTCCAGATCAAGAGACTGGGCCACAGCAACGCGTGGCAGGGGACAGCTAGTCCTAAATAAGAGCGGCAACTCCCTTGTGACATCAATATTAGAGTAGGACCGCAGATATGGAGGTTCCATGCCTGGCAAGCGTTTACGCTAACGCCCGAAGTTCCAGATTAAAGAATGCACTCACCAGGTGAAGACAAGCCACAGAGGTTATTTTGGATGTTGCTATGGCAGTTAAAGTGGAATCGGAGTACTACAACGGAGCAAGAAGCCATGCAATAGGGTTACTATAGGTCACAAGGGACTTGAATGTACACAACAGTTTGCCAAGCAGAACGATGCCAATATGCTGGATGTATTCGGCTCGCAAGCCCTTCCTTCAGGCTAGGATTTGCGTGTTTGTTTATTTTCCCCGGGCATGTTTCCAACATGACTCACTCACGGCTTTCTGAAACGAACTCCCATTTCTGTCTCCTCCTCTTTTTGCTTTTTTTCTGAGCAAGGCAGAAAACCACCAGTCCCAAGTTCTGAGTTGCCAAGCGAAGAGGAGGACGCATCCCAGGCCGCAATGTCGGGGTGCAACTTTTGCAGCGTCTTGGTGACCGGAGCCAACCGAGGCATCGGTTTGGAACTGGTGAAGCAGATTTTGGGACAACCCAAACCTCCCCAAAAGCTCTTTGCCACTTGCCGGGACCCTCAAGGAAGCGGAGCCCAGGTGAGGACCAAGGATTTCCAAGTAGGGATGCATTTCCTTTGGAGATGCAACAGGGCTGCGGATATTGGGGTTCAGAAGGCAAAGTGAGGACGCTCAGAGGCGGCCCTAGGTAATTTTCAACAGTAAGCAAACAGTATTCCCCCCCCCACCCCAACCAATCATTGATATATATTTTCTGTTTGTCGTGGGAGTTCTGTGTGCCATATTTGGTTCAATTCCATCATTGGTGGAGTTCAGAATGCTCTTTGATTGTAGGTGAACTATACATCCCAGTTACTACACTTGCCGCACTTGCTCCCTTGCCTGGCCCGCTTTGGGTCCGGAGGCGTGCCTGAAGACCCCGGCGTGTGCACCAAAAGTCACCTCTTCTCCTGACTTTCTCCTCAGCCATTGGGACCGAGAGAGAGAGAGAGAGAGAGAGAGAGGTGGGAGCGGAGGTGGGAGATACCTCCAGCCGTAGGGGCTCTCTCTCTCTCTCTCTTGGTCCCAATGGCTGAAGAGAAAGTCAGGAGAAGAGGCGACTTTTGGTGCGCACGCTGGGGTCTTCAGACACGCCTCCGGACCCGAAGTGGGCCAGGCACGGCGGCTCTGCCCCTTGGCCCACCCGCGGATTGGGGAGAGGAGAGGAGGCGGGTGGAGCGCCGGGGGATCGGGAAAGGGAGCCGGTCATGGGGAAGGGATCGAACACGGAGAACGATTGAGCGCCGGCTCTGCTCGCGCACCCGGTGGCCGGATGGAGCAGGAACGAGAGGGGCTAAGCAAGGCTCAAGGGTCCGGCCCCTTTGGGAAGAGGATCACCCGGCAGCAAGGCAAGAAAGCCGAGGCTCCCCCCAGACTCCTAGGGCTGTTGTGAGCTGAGGGGGTGCTCCTCAAGTGGCGGTCGAGGGGCATTTACAGAGGCGCCTCTGCACCCCTGGCAAAAGAAAAGTGTTCTGCGACCGCTTACTTCGCGTAATGGACAAGCCGCCCCTGAGGACGCTGAATCCCTAAATAATACTATGTAACAACATTTGAAAAATGTCCTGTTCCCTGGTTTGAAAGTGCTATTTCCTGTTTAATTGTGCAGTCCTTACTTGGAAAGGAGTTGTTATCCTTCAGAAACTTTGTTTCTGTGGCTGCTGCAAACTAGGCTGACTTGGTTGAGATTAATTGAAAAACTAGAATGGTGTATCATGTTATCTTCAGCTCCAAATATGTAACCTCCGGAGCCTTTGGGGAGAAAATAAAGCACTGCATACAATACCAAGAGTGGAAAAACCGGACTGAGAAAAACAGGGCAAAAGTAAGAAGAAGAAGAAAAAGGAATGTTTGCCTTAATCTGGAACAGTCAGATTGCCTCTAGAAACCAGAAGCAGAACACATCTGTATTTGAATTTAGTCTGAGTTTCCTTTTGCTAAATGATGGAAAATTAGACCTTGACATTTGGGAGTTGCAGTTGATGGGATTTATAGTTCACTTGCAACCAAAGAGCATTCTTTTTTTCTTTTTTGTTTGCCGTGTCAGGAGTGACTTGAGAAACTGCAAGTCGCTTCTGGTGTGAGAGAACTGGCCGTCTGCAAGGACATTGCCCAGGGGACGCCTGGATGATTTGATGTTTTTATCATCCTTGTGGGAGGCTTCTCTCATGTCCCCGCATGAGGAGCTGGAGCTGATAGAGGGAGCTCATCCGTCTCTCCTCGGATTTGAACCTGCGACCTGTCAGTCTTCAGTCCTGCCGGCACAGGGTTTAACCCACTGCGCCACTGGGGGCTCTGGTGCACTCTGAATCCCACCAATGATAGAATTGGGTCAAACTTCTCATACAGAACCCCCATGACCAACAGATAATTCTGTGTTCTCTGGTGGTCTTTGGAGACCCCTCTGACATTACTTTGCGACACCCTCCCCCCCCCCTCCCGAGGGGCCCCAACTTCCAGGTTGAGAAACTCTACCCTCCAGCAAAGAACACACACTCTTAAGCATTCTTCTGCAGTATAGAATGGATGCAGTTGGCTTTTCTCCTTTTCTGCCTCCCTAAACACAATTTTAGAATTGTGTTTTCCTTTCTTTGGCAAGTATTCCTGGTATGTAACCCAGGCAGCTTTGAACATGCACTTCTTATAATGCAAACCCCTTTTTATCCTGATTCTAGGAATTGAAAAAACTGGCTTCCAAGCATCCCAACCTGGTGGTCTTGCAGCTCGGTATGTACACAAACCTTTCCTTTCCACCCACCTTAGCTTCTTTTTCCCCTTGCAGAAAGCTTGTTTGGATGCTTGTTTTTGCTTGTTTCCTTGGGCAGCGAGTTGGCGGAAGGAGGGATGCATGACCTTGCATAATAATAATAATAATTATAATAATAATAATAAAACTGTATTTATATCCCACCCTATCTCCCCTTGGGGACTCAGAGCAGTTTCCACATATGCAAAATAATACAAAAACATACAATATAACACAAAAACATAGGCAGAAACTGTTAACACAACATATACATTAAAGTTGATTTATTGAGTGCTGAGTGCATTCTACCAATACTGTGAGAAAAACCAGCTAAAGATAAACTATAGTAAAACCAAAATCATGGTCTTCTCAAAAAAGCGAGCCAGGCATAACTGGTACATAGGAAAGAACCCAATTGAACAAGTTTCCAGTTTTAAATAGCTTTATTAACGACAGACGAAGGGCTAGAAGGCATGATCATCAAGTTTGCAGACGACACCAAATTGGGAGGGATAGCCAATAGTCCAGAGGACAGGAGCAGGATTCAAAACGATCTTGACAGATTAGAGAGATGGGCCAAAACTAACAAAATGAAGTTCAACAGGGACAAATGCAAGAGACTCCACTTTGGCAGAAAAAATGAAATGCAAAGATACAGAATGGGGGACAATGCCTGGCTCGAGAGCAGGACGTGTGAAAAAGATCTTGGAGTCCTCGTGGACAACAAGTTAAACATGAGCCAGGAATGTGATGTGGCAGCGAAAAAAGCCAATGGGATTTTGGCCTGCATCAAGAGGAGCATAGTGTCTAGACCTAGGGAAGTAATGCTACCCCTCTATTCTGCTTTGGTTAGACTACATCTGGAATATTGTGTCCAATTCTGGGCACCACAATTGAAGAGAGATATTGACAAGCTGGAATGTGTCCAGAGGAGGGCGAACTAAAATGATCAAGGGTCTGGAGAACAAGCCCTATGAGGAGCAGCTTAAAGAGCTGGGCATGTTTAGCCTGAAGAAGAGAAGGCTGAGAGGACACATGATAGCCATGTATAAATATGTGAGAGGAAGCCACAGGGAGGAGGGAGCAAGCTTGTTTTCTGCTTCCTTGGAGACTAGGACGCGGAACAATGGCTTCAAACTACAGGAGAGGAGATTCCATCTGAACATTAGGAGAACTTCCTGACTGTGAGAGCCGTTCAGCAGTGGAACTCTCTGCCCCGGAGTGTGGTGGAGGCTCCTTCTTTGGAAGCTTTTAAACAGAGGCTGGATGGCCATCTGTCAGGGGTGATTTGAATGCAATATTCCTGCTTCTTGGCAGAGGGTTGGACTGGATGGCCCATGAGGTCTCTTCCAACTCTTTGATTCTATGATTCTAGGGGTTACCTTCCAAGCCTCAGGTACCTGGGGATGCCACCAAAAAATGGCAGTACAAAATGCCCTATCCAATAGTAAAGCAATAATTCACTTTTTTTACACCAAAGGCGGCCAGTATATACCAGCTGCAACAAAGGTCTTCCAAGCAAAGGTAACAGCCCAATTATTATACGCAATTCCGGTATGGATCACAGGCTTCACATCTAAAGTAGAACAAGTTCAATCAGGATTTCTCAGCGTGTCTGAAGACCCCGGCGTGTGCACCAAAAGTCACCTCTTCTCCTGACTTTCTCCTCAGCCATTGGGACCAAGAGAGAGAGAGAGAGAGTGGAGATGCCCACCTTTCCTGAAGGTAGGCGCAAAAACAAAGGAGGGAGCGGAGGTGGGAGATACCTCCAGCCGGAGGGGCTCTCTCTCTCTCTCTCTCTCTCTCCTCTCTTGGTCCCAATGGCTGAAGAGAAAGTCAGGAGAAGAGGCGACTTTTGGTGCGCACGCTGGGGTCTTCAGGCACGCCTCCGGACCCGAAGCGGGCCAGGCACGGCGGCTCCGCCCCTTGGCCCACCTGCGGATTGGGGAGAGGAGAGGAGGCGGGTGGAGCACCGGGGGATCAGGAAAGGGAGCCAGTCATGGGGAAGGGATCGAACGCGGAGAACGATTGAGCGCCGGCTCTGCTTGCGCACCCAGTGGCCAGGTGGAGCAGGAATGAGAGGGGCTAGGCGAGGCTCAAGGGCCCGGCCCCTTTGGGAAGAGGATCGCCCGTCAGCAAGGCAAGAAAGCCAAGGCTCCCCCCGGACTGCTAGGGCTGTTGTGAGCTGAGGGGGTGCTCCTCAAGTGGCAGTCGAGGGGCATTTACAGAGGCGCCCCTGGCAAAAAAAAAAGTGTTCTGCGACCGCTTACTTCGCGTAAAGGATGAGCCGCCCCTGCTTTCAGGCCACCCTTTGGGTCACATCACTGTTGGGTTGCATAACATTGATGTTTCTCCAGGAAATACTGTGAGACGTTAAAGCCAACAGCCAAGCCCAGGCCTGTACCTTGCCGGTGATACAACCTTTTGCAGAAGCGATTGAAAAGTGCAGATTAAGTGCACAAAAGGGACCGAATCCTGCTTCTTTGAGATGCATGGGTGTGCCTTCGCAATGCTCCTCCCTTCACAAACCTCAGACACAAAAGACAATGAATGTCAGTTGCTCGATTCAGCCTACGCATTTCTGATGTTGTATTCTTCTCTTTTGCTTATAATAAGTCAAGCTTGAAGGTGAGTTCGAGGTCTCCCGTTCATCGCACACCCCCCCCCCCCCCCCCCCCCCCCCCCCACAAAGCCTTCTTTTATAGTTGACAATCCACTCTACAGTCCCTTTTGATTTTACAGGATTTTTCGCCCCCTCTGCAAAAGAACACTGGTGCCCAATCAAACTACAACTCTCAGGATTCCTTAAAATCAAACCATTGGCAGTTTAGAGTGATTTGTGTGTGTGTCACAAGCGACTTGAGAAACTGCAAGCCGCTTCTGGTGTGAGAGAATTGGCTGTCTGTAAGGACGTTGCACAGGGGACGTCCAGATGTTTTACCATCCTGTGGGAGGCTTCTCTCATATCCCCACATGAGAAGCTGGAGCTGACAGACAGGAGCTCACCCCACTCCCCAGATTCGAACCACCCAAATGCCCGGGTGCTTTGATGTCCTAGATGTTTTACCATCCTGTGGGAGGCTTCTCTCATATTCCTACATGAGAAGCTGGAACTGACAGACAGGAGCTCACCCCACTACTCAGATTTGAACCACCAAAATGCCCGGGTGTTTTGATGTCCCAGATGTTTTACCATCCTTTGGGAGGCTTCTCTCATATCCCTACATGAGAAGCTGGAGCTGACAGATGGGAGCTCCCCCTATTCCCCAGATTCGAACCACCAAAATGCCCAGATATTTTGATGTCCCAGATGTTTTACCATCCTGTGGGAGGCTTCTCTCATATCCCTACATGAGAAGCTGGAGCTGACAGGCAGGAGTTCACCCCATTCCCTAGATTTGAACCACCCAAATGCCCAGATATTTTGATGTCCCAGATATTATACCATCTTGTAGGAGGCTTCTCTCATATCCCCAAATGAGAAGCTGGAGCTGATAGACAGGAGCCCACCCCATTCCCCGGATTCGAACCACCAAAATGCCCAGATATTTTGATGTCCCAGACGTTTTACCATCCTGCGGGAGGCTTCTCTCATATCCCTACATGAGAAGCTGGAGCTGACAGGCAGGAGTTCACCCCATTCCCTAGATTTGAACCACCAAAATGCCCAGATATTTTGATGTCCCAGACGTTTTACCATCCTGTGGGAGGCTTCTCTCATATCCCTACATGAGAAGCTGGAGCTGACAGGCAGGAGTTCACCCCATTCCCTAGATTTGAACCACCCAAATGCCCAGATATTTTGATGTCCCAGACGTTTTACCATCCTGTGGGAGGCTTCTCTCATATCCCTACATGAGAAGCTGGAGCTGACAGGCAGGAGTTCACCCCATTCCCTAGATTTGAACCACCCAAATGCCCAGATATTTTGATGTCCCAGATGTTTTACCATCCTGTGGGAGGCTTCTCTCATATCCCTACACGAGAAGCTGGAGCTGACAGATAGGAGCCCACCCCACTCCCCAGATTCGAACCACCAAAATACCAGATATTTTGATGTCCCAGATATTATACCATCTTGTGGGAGGCTTCTCTCATATCCCCACATGAGAAGCTGGAGCTGATAGACAGGAGCCCACCCCATTCCCCGGATTCGAACCACCAAAATGCCCAGATATTTTGATGTCCCAGACGTTTTACCATCCTGCGGGAGGCTTCTCTCATATCCCTACATGAGAAGCTGGAGCTGACAGGCAGGAGTTCACCCCATTCCCTAGATTTGAACCACCCAAATGCCCAGATATTTTGATGTCCCAGACGTTTTACCATCCTGCGGGAGGCTTCTCTCATATCCCTACATGAGAAGCTGGAGCTGACAGGCAGGAGTTCACCCCATTCCCTAGATTTGAACCACCCAAATGCCCAGATATTTTGATGTCCCAGACGTTTTACCATCCTGTGGGAGGCTTCTCTCATATCCCTACATGAGAAGCTGGAGCTGACAGGCAGGAGTTCACCCCATTCCCTAGATTTGAACCACCCAAATGCCCAGATATTTTGATGTCCCAGATGTTTTACCATCCTGTGGGAGGCTTCTCTCATATCCCTACATGAGAAGCTGGAGCTGACAGGCAGGAGTTCACCCCATTCCCTAGATTTGAACCACCCAAATGCCCAGATATTTTGATGTCCCAGATGTTTTACCATCCTGTGGGAGGCTTCTCTCATATTCCTACACGAGAAGCTGGAGCTGACAGATAGGAGCCCACCCCACTCCCCAGATTCGAACCACCAAAATACCAGATATTTTGATGTCCCAGATATTATACCATCTTGTGGGAGGCTTCTCTCATATCCCCACATGAGAAGCTGGAGCTGATAGACAGGAGCCCACCCCATTCCCCGGATTCGAACCACCAAAATACCAGATATTTTGATGTCCCAGATATTATACCATCTTGTAGGAGGCTTCTCTCATATCCCCACATGAGAAGCTGGAGCTGATAGACAGGAGCCCACCCCATTCCCCGGATTCGAACCACCAAAATGCCCAGATATTTTGATGTCCCAGACGTTTTACCATCCTGTGGGAGGCTTCTCTCATATCCCCACATGAGAAGCTGGAGCTGATAGACAGGAGCCCACCCCATTCCCCGGATTCGAACCACCAAAATGCCCAGATATTTTGATGTCCCAGACGTTTTACCATCCTGTGGGAGGCTTCTCTCATATCCCTACATGAGAAGCTGGAGCTGACAGGCAGGAGTTCACCCCATTCCCTAGATTCGAACCACCAAAATGCCCAGATATTTTGATGTCCCAGACGTTTTACCATCCTGCGGGAGGCTTCTCTCATATCCCTACATGAGAAGCTGGAGCTGACAGGCAGGAGTTCACCCCATTCCCTAGATTTGAACCACCCAAATGCCCAGATATTTTGATGTCCCAGATGTTTTACCATCCTGTGGGAGGCTTCTCTCATATCCCTACATGAAAAGCTGGAGCTGACAGGCAGGAGTTCACCCCATTCCCTAGATTTGAACCACCCAAATGCCCAGATATTTTGATGTCCCAGATGTTTTACCATCCTGTGGGAGGCTTCTCTCATATCCCTACACGAGAAGCTGGAGCTGACAGATAGGAGCCCACCCCACTCCCCAGATTCGAACCACCAAAATACCAGATATTTTGATGTCCCAGATATTATACCATCTTGTGGGAGGCTTCTCTCATATCCCCACATGAGAAGCTGGAGCTGATAGACAGGAGCCCACCCCATTCCCCGGATTCGAACCACCAAAATGCCCAGATATTTTGATGTCCCAGATGTTTTACCATCCTGTGGGAGGCTTCTCTCATATCCCCACATGAGAAGCTGGAGCTGATAGACAGGAGCCCACCCCATTCCCCGGATTCGAACCACCAAAATGCCCAGATATTTTGATGTCCCAGACGTTTTACCATCCTGTGGGAGGCTTCTCTCATATCCCTACATGAGAAGCTGGAGCTGACAGGCAGGAGTTCACCCCATTCCCTAGATTTGAACCACCCAAATGCCCAGATATTTTGATGTCCCAGATGTTTTACCATCCTGTGGGAGGCTTCTCTCATATCCCTACATGAGAAGCTGGAGCTGACAGGCAGGAGTTCACCCCATTCCCTAGATTTGAACCACCCAAATGCCCAGATATTTTGATGTCCCAGATGTTTTACCATCCTGTGGGAGGCTTCTCTCATATCCCTACATGAGAAGCTGGAGCTGATAGACAGGAGCCACCCCATTCCCTAGATTTGAACCACCCAAATGCCCAGATATTTTGATGTCCCAGATGTTTTACCATCCTGTGGGAGGCTTCTCTCATATTCCTACACGAGAAGCTGGAGCTGACAGATAGGAGCCCACCCCACTCCCCAGATTCGAACCACCAAAATACCAGATATTTTGATGTCCCAGATATTATACCATCTTGTGGGAGGCTTCTCTCATATCCCCACATGAGAAGCTGGAGCTGATAGACAGGAGCCCACCCCATTCCCCGGATTCGAACCACCAAAATGCCCAGATATTTTGATGTCCCAGATGTTTTACTATCCTGTGGGAGGCTTCTCTCATATCCCTACATGAGAAGCTGGAGCTGACAGACAGGAGCTCACCCCACTCCTCAATTTGAACCACCAAAATGCCCGGGTGTTTTGATGCCCCAGATGTTTTACCATCCTGTGGGAGGCTTCTCTCATATCCCTACATGAGAAGCTGGAGCTGATAGACAGGAGCTCACCCTACTCCTCAGATTCGAACCACCAACATGCCTGGGTATTTTGATGTCCCAGGTGTTTTACCATCCTGTGGGAGGCTTCTCTCATATCCCCACATGAGAAGCTGGAGCTGACAGATGGGAGCTCACCCCACTCCCCAGATTTGATCCCCAAGGATCATCCAGTCCGAACGATTTACAGCAACCCAATGATTCAGGCCATGAAAGCCTTCAACAATACAATAATAATATACTTTATTTATATTCCACTCTATCTCCCCGAGGGGACTCGGAGTGGATTACAGTATATACATATATAGGCAAACATTCAATGCCTTTTGTACAGTGAACAATGACATACAATACACAAACAAAGGCAAGGGTTTCCCTTTCCATCTCTGGCGTCTGGAGGCAATGCTCAACTCTGGCCATGGGGAGGTGCTCCTGTTCCATTTTCCATTCTGAGGAGCCTGTCATATGTAGACCCTCCTGGTTGTGTTTTGCTGGCATGGCGAAATAGGCACCTTTCGCCTTCCCACCAAGGCAGTACCTATTGATCTACTCACATTACATGTTTTCGAACTGCTAGGTTGGCAGGAGCTAGGGCTGACAGCTGGAAGCTCACCCTGACTCACAGCTTTGAACTGCTGACCTTCCAGTCTGCAATTTTTTCTGCAGCTAGTGGTTTAACTCGCTGTGCTACCACGGCCCCTTTTCAGTTTATGATTATTTTGGCAGTCGTTTACCTTTTTCGTCGGAGCAAATTGAGTCTTTGGATCATAATGAATCCCGTGTGCCTTTACAGAATCCACCGACGAAGCAAGCATCAAGGCTGCCGCCAAAGAAGCAGAGACCCACTTGGCCGGAAAGGGCCTGACCCTATTGATCAATAATGCCGGCATCATGCCGCCCAGCACCCTCGAATCCGTGACCCAAGACGACATGCTCAGCGTCTACCACACCAACGTCGTCGGGCCCATGATGATCACCAAGGTAGCACGGTTTCTGTTCCTGGGTTATTAATGTCATTTCCTAATTGGTTTGAGCATAAAAACATGGGAAAGGTTTATGAAACTGCAATGTTTCTGCTTCTGTTACATAGTATAATGATGATAATACAATCATAGAATCCTAGAGTTGGAAGAGACCTCCTGGGCCATCCAGTCCAACCCCATTCTGCCAAGAAGCAGGGAAATGACATTCAAAGCACCCACAACAGATGGCCATCCAGCCTCTGTTTAAGAGCCTCCAAAGTAGGAGCCTCCACCACACTCCGGGGCAGAGAGTTCCACTGCTGAACAGCTCTCACAGTCAAGAAGTTCTTCCTCATGTTCAGATGGAATCTCCTCTCTTGTAGTTTGAAGCCATTGTTCCATTGTGTCCTAGTCTCCAAGGAAGCAGAAAACAAGCTTGCTCCCTCCTCCCTGTGGCTTCCTCTCACATACGTGTGAAAAAGATCTTGGAGTCCTTGTGGACAACAAGTTAAACATGAGCCAGGAATGTGATGTGGCGGCAAAAAAAGCCAATGGGATTTTGGCCTGCATCAATAGGAGCATAGTGTCTAGATCTAAGGAAGTAATGCTCCCCAGACTCTATTCTGCCTTGGTTAGACCACACCTGGAATATTGTGTCCAATTCTGGGCACCACAATTCAAGAGAGATATTGACAAGCTGGAATGTTTCCAGAAGAGGGTGACTAAAACGATCAAGGGTCTGGAGAACAAGCCCTATGAGGAGCGGCTTAAGGAGCAGGGCATGTTTAGCCTGGATAAGAGAAGGCTGAGAGGAGATATGATAGCCGTGTATAAATATGTGAGAGGAAGCCACAGGGAGGAGGGAGCAAGCTTCCTTTCTGCTTCCCTGGAACATTGTTCCGCTTCCACGGAACAATGGCTTCAAACTACAAGGAAGGAGATTCCATCTGAACATGAGGAAGAACTTCCTGACTGTGAGAGCCGTTCAGCAGTGGAACTCTCTGCCCCAGAGTGTGGTGGAGGCTCCTTCTTTGGAAGCTTTTAAACAGACGCTGGATGGCCATCTGTCAGGGGTGCTTTGAATGCAATATTCCTGCTTCTTGGCAGAATGGGGTTGGACTGGATGGCCCATGAGGTCTCTTCCAACTCTTAGATTCTATGATTCTATGATTCTATGACACAGTAAAACTAGGGCCGGGCCAACTAAAATGGGTACAGATTAAAAAGTGCTGGGTGTGACCGGTGGATGTAGGATTATAGGGTAAGTGCAATGTGCAGACCATCTTAAAACTCTGATAAAGTGCTTCTGGGACATATTGCTGGAGTTTCCTATTCTGGAAAGGCACACCGGAACAGCCAAGTCTTCAAATTCTTCCTAAAGACTGCCAATGTAGGGGCTTGGCTGATGTCTTTGGGGAGGGTGTTCCAAAGACGGGGGGCCACCACAGAAAAGGCCCTGTCCCTCGTCCCCACCACACACGCTTGCGACGCTGGTGGGATCGCGAGCAGGGCCTCTCCGGATGTGCGAAGAGAACGCGTGGGTTCATAAATGGAGATGCGGTCACGCAGGTTGGCGGGCCCCAAACCGTTTAGGGCTTTGTAGGTAAGCACCTGCACCTTGAATTGGGCCCGGAAAATAAACAGCAGCCAATGGAGCTCCTTGAACAGGAGGGTTGACCTCTCTCTGTAAGGAGCGCCAGTTAACAACCTGGCCGCCACCCGTTGGACCAGCTGAAATTTCTGAGCCGTTTCCAAGGGCAGCCCCACATAGAGCGCATTACAGTAGTCCAATCTAGAGGTGGCAAAGGCATGGACCACTCCGGCCAGATCAGCCTTTGCGAGGTACGGTCGCAGTTGGTGCACGAGTCTTAAAGATTGAACTGCAAAGACTCTGGCACAAGCCAGTCAAGGAGGTCCCAGTGGTGATGAGCACACTGGGTGCAGTGCCTCAAGACCTTGGCCTGCACTTAAAAACAATCGGCGCTGACAAAATTACCATCTGTCAGCTGCTAAAGGCTACCTTACCAGGATCTACACGCATTATTCACCGACACATCACACAGTCCTTGGGAAGTGTCCGACGTGTGATCCAAAACAACACCCAGCAGAGTGTTCATGTTTGCTGTGGACCCATCTTGTTGTGTTTCAAACAACAACAACAACATGTTAGCTGAGACGGAAAGAAAGGTACAAGTATGCCTTTAGTTGTGTTCCTAGCATGCATTGCCCAGGCCATCTCTCCCAATGTTTTGGCAATCCAGATAAGCCAAGGACCTGCTTGTGTTTCTCCGCAGGCTTTTCTCCCGATGCTGATACAGGCTGCAAAGAAGACCTGCGGAAAGGACCAGGGCTGTGTCAAACCTGCCATAATAAACTTCTCCACCATCGGCAGCTCCATCGGAAATGCTCCGCACATGGGCACGTTCCCAGTCATTGCTTACCGCTGCAGCAAAGTAAGTTGGCCGGAAGGAAATGCGCTCTTTGGGGTATTTATTTATCATGTCAATATCAACCAGACAATTGTATTACATTTTTAACAAACAGACAAAACAGAGTTTGCAAGCTTGGTAGTTGATTAGATGTCCTTTGACCAGTCTCTGGCCCCTTGGAGTGCCTCTGGTGTTGCCACAAGAAGGTCCTCCCTTGTGCATGTGGCAGGGCTCAGGGTGCATTGCAGCAGGTGGTCAGTGGTTGGCTCTTCTCCTCACTCACATGTCATGGATTCCACTTTGTAGCCCCATTTCTTAAGGTTGGCGCTGCATCTCGTGGTGCCAAAGCGCAGTCTGTTCAGTTCCTGTCTTCTGTGTGCCCAGAAGGGAGTCTCTCATTTGGTATCTGCCATTGATTGAGGTTCTGGGTTTGAGCCTGCCACTTTTGGACTCTCGCTTGCTGAGGTGTTTCAGTGAGTGTCTCTGTAGATCTTAGAAAATGATGTCTTGATTTAAGTCGTTGACGTGCTGGCTGATACCCAAACAAGGGATGAGCTGGAGATGTCACTGCCTTGGCTGCTACTTCCCGGCGGATGTCAGGTGGTGCCATACTGGCTAAGCAGTGTAATTTCTCCAGTGGTGTGGGGCACAGACACCCCGTGATAATGCAGCATGTCTCATTATGAGCCACATCCACTGTTTTAGCATGGTGAGATGTGTTCCACACTGGGCATGCGTACTCAGCAGCAGAGTAGCATAGCGCAAGGGCAGATGTCTTCACTGTATCTGGTTGTGATCCCCAGGTTGTGCCAGTCAGCTTTCGCATGATATTGTTTCTAGCGCCCATTTTTTGCTTGATGTTCAGGCAGTGCTTCTTGTAGGTCAGAGCACGGTCCAAAGTGATTCCCAGGGATTTGGGTGTGCTGCAATGCTCCAGTGAGATTCCTTCCCAGGGAATCCTCAGACCTCGGGATGCTTGTCTGTTCTTAAGGTGAAAAGCACATGCCTGTGTTTTAGATGGATTAGGGATCAGCTGGTTTTCCCTGTAATAGGCAGTTAGAGCACCTAGAGCTTCGGAGAGCTTCTGTTCAACCATCTCAAAGCCCCCTGCTTGAGCGGTGATGGCACGATCATCAGCATAGATTAAACTCTCTGTCCCTTCTGTCCCTAGCTCTTTGGGGTGAAGGCCAGGGTTTCCACATCCATTTCCATGTCTCTCCTTCTGTTTCTCTCTCCAGAGAGCACTGAACATGCTCACGCAATGCCAGGCCCTGGAGTACAAGGACAAGGGCATCCTGTGTGTGGCAATCCATCCCGGGTGGGTGAAAACGGACCTAGGGACAGACAAGGTACGACCCACAAATACGTTTGCCATTAGGACCAATAACAGCGGGTGGGTCCTTTCTCAATATGGATGGACAGATAGATGAAACGGAATGCAGAGATATACATAGTGGATAGTAAATAGAGGACAGAGAAGATTGTATAGATAGATAGATAGATAGATAGATAGATAGATAGATAGATAGATAGACAGATAGTAGAAATGTAGTAAATAGGAAAGAGACAAGATGATAGTAGATAGATGATAGATGACTGAGAGATAGATAGATAGATAGATAGATAGATAGATAGATAGATAGATAGATGAATATATATAGTCTATATGTAATAAATAAGGGAGAGAGATGACAGTAGATAGATAGATAGATAGATAGATAGATAGATAGATAGATAGATAGATAGATAGATTAATATAGTAGATATGTCATAAATAGGGAACAGTAGATAATAGATAGATAGATAGATAGATAGATAGATAGATAGATAGATAGACAGATAGATAGATAGATGAAAGAATTAATAGATAACAATAGTAGATATGTCGTAAATAGGGGAGAAGATAGTAGATAGATGATAGATTAGATAGATAGATAGGTAGATAGATGAATATAGTAGATATGTTGTAAATAGGGAACAATAGATAGATGATAGATAGATAGATAGATAGATAGATAGATAGATAGATAGATGATAGATGATAGATAGATAGATAGATGATAGACAGACAGACAGACAGATAGATAGATAGATAGATAGATAGATAGATAGATGATAGATAGATCAATGAATATATATATAGTAGATATATAGTAAATAGGGAGAGAGGAGATGATAGATAGATAGATAGATAGATAGATAGATAGATAGATAGATAGATGATAGGTAGATAGATAAATGAATATAGTAGGTATGTTGTA